AAGTTTCTGAGCCAAACAAAGCACAAAGTAATCCTGTGAGAAGTATGTGAAGGATTTAAATTGAGAGCCAAGTCATTATTTTCTATAAAAAGCTCACTGGAATTTTATAAGCACAGAAATCTAACTGTGAAATAAACTTTGGTGCCAATCCCTTAATAAAATGAATATCAACAAAGATGACCCTCATTCTTTATAACATCTTTATTTGCAAAAGGACCCAAGGATACTGGTTTGATTTGAGGGAGTTAACTTTGTATAGTGCTGTATGATACAATATCAAAGTAATTTTTACCTTCATTATAATGATTATGATAATCATAGAATGTACCTATATGTGCTGCTTTGAATAAGTTAGTAGAAAGTTCACTTTCCCTCCATTCTGCCAAATAAACCACAGAGCAACTTTAATTTAATTCATCCTTCTGCAGAATTATCTGAACAACAGGAGCAATTAATTTGTAAGTTATTTACAAATGCTCACTGAAGCACATATACTGCTGATTTATGTGGCAGCTAAAGGTCTGTGAAGACAGCACTGCTCACTAATCACAGGCACCTGGGACATTATCACCATAAAGTAAGTGACATCCAGGGTGTCTTAAAACTGTCACAGAAGAGTTTACATTCATTACAGGCAGCTCACAGACTATCTTAAAACTCTAAGCACCAATGGCTAAAAGCATCTCTTCGATCCAGGGGTAAATCATTACATAAAAATTAATATCAAGTAAGTTACCCTGTGTCACTCATCAATTATTTATCTTCAAATCTTCCTGTAACCTCATAATCTCACATTCAATCTCAGAAAATGCACCTGCTGTTCTATCTGAGGCATATCTCTCAGCCTTATTCTCTCCTTCAGTTTTGTTGGACTGTTACAATGATCCTGTGGAAACTCCTAGTTCACAATTTGACCCTTTCTAGATTCTCCATTATCCTGATCTATCTAAAGCCAAATCTACCACAAAATTGTCTCCCCTGCCTTTTGATGTTTACAATTTGGGTTTGGAATGTAAGAACTCAGTTTTTGCTATTTTTTTTTTTCACTGCAGCTATAGGTATATGCAGATGTGTTACCATTTAGAAGTACTAAAAAAACATTCCCTAAACACATCATTCTATTTCAGAACTCAAATATGTGCAAGTCCCCACCTCTTGTTATGTCTTCCTGGTTAAAACTCTAGAATATTTCTACACCGACTCATGGTTAGATTCTCTCTGATGCCTGGTTTGACCACTCCCTCCCTCCTCTATGACATTGCTCTAGTACTTAAAAATGTTTTTACCTAAGAACTATATATTAATATTTTTTAGTTCTCTGTTACAATTCTCCTTAGGGTAGGAAACCTATGTTATTCACCTTTCCAAACTGTAACTGGTTATGACTAGTGCAGAGTAGGTGTATACTATCTGTTGGGTGTGTAGAAGATAAAATTCTGATTTGACAAACAGTCTCTTCCTAGTTTCATGTTCTTTGTTAGGGAATTTTGTACACTATTAAATACAACTACTTATACTAGAGGCAGAGAAAATTAAACATTCTATTCTAATTTTTAATAGCATATACATATTATATAATGTTCTTCTTCCCAAGTATTTCTAGATTTTTTAAGGAGTGCATGATATAAAGACAAATATTAACTTATGTTTACTAAATTTACTTGTATTTACTATTAATAATATTTAGGCACAAGTTTATCTTTTTTGATTGCTGAGTAATATCCCATTGTGTATATGTCTCACATCTTCTTGATCCAGTCATATATTTTTGGACATTTGGGTTGTTTCCATAGCTTAGCTATTATAAATAATGCTGCTATAAACATAGGGGTGTAGGTGCCCTTTTGAATTAATGTTTCTGTGTCCTTTGGGTAAATACCTAGGAGTGGAATTGCCAGGTCAATACCAGATGGTCTCATTCATAGCAGGAATTTAGAAAGCCTAAATAAGGGACCAGGAAAAAACCCCAATTATAATAAAGTAAAAGTCTAAATCAACAAGCAACTATAAACCAGAGACACACTATGGGCGGGGAGGGGGGTGTGTAGGGGGAAGTAGGATCAAAATAAGTGGGGTGGGAATTGTATGGGAACTATAACCAAGATGAAAATGCACACATTGTGCAACAATGAAAAATGATGTAATAGGGCCTCCCCGGTGGCGCAGCGGTTGAGCGCTGGGTTGCGAAGCTGCCTGCAGCCTCTGCAGCGCCGGTTCGATCCCCGGCTGCTCCCCGGCCACCGGAGGAGGGTCCCACATGGCGTGCAGACCTCTCCTGCCGCCCGCTGCTCCCCTCAGCAGTGAACTTGGGTCCTTCTGCCTGCTCTGCTCCCCGCTCTGGCTCTGGTGAATTCTCTCACCCTCCCGCGCTTCTGACTGTACCCAGTGCTTGTATAAATACAATTTAAAAAATATAATATAATAAAATAAAATAAAATAAAATAAATCAAAAAATGTTAAAAAAATGATGTAATATATAAAATAAAATATATATATATATATATACAAAATAATATTTAGCTAAAAAATTTAAATTGTAAGACAACTAACTCTGGTGCACACCTACATACTTGCCACTGTTTTGTTCAATAATATTACTTGAATCAATTACCTTTCAAAATGGTCCATTTCCACTGGTTTTTAACTAAAGTATAAGAATAATGTCTTACCCTCAAGCTCTGTAAAGGTTAAACATACTCACTGTGCATCTTAGTATTACATTTTGGGAACATGCATTCAACCAATTTTCTATGTGAATAATAGACTGCAGGACCTTCCCTCCATAAACGCCATCAAGAAGATATTATGCCAAAAAAGGTTCCCACACCTCTTCTATTCAATGAAATAAATGTTTAGGGCGATGTTTAAATAAACTGATTATTCATGACTGCCACTCATCAAATCTACACTTCATACTATTCAGATTGATACTTATGACACTTTCCTAACTAGCTACATGGTGCATAAATGAACTTAATAGGTACTGTCACATGTTGTACATAAAACCCTTTAGAACAGAATTTTAGCCTTGAAAATAAAACTATTAGCTGTATCAAGATGTTCTGAAGTAAATTTGAAATATAAAAGCAGACTGTTGTGTTTTAAATAGCCAGCTTTTCACTATGGTGACCAGTTCTTTCCTAATAATTCAATATCAGATTTGGATAAGTGGTTTGTTCTGTACAGTACCACCTCCTCCAAGTGCCTTATTACTCTCCTCTGAGAAAGTTTTGCTTTCATTTTGCCCTTATTACTGTATGTTAACCTTTTCCTGCACCACTAGCTTTTTTCTTCTCTACACATTTTGTGCCTTTATCTTTTAAGAGGGTCTTTCTTGGACCTAGTTAATTAACCATTCTCTTTCCATTATTTAATACAAAAATCATGACAAAAATAATTTGATCTCCTACTTTTCCTTTTTTTTTTCTTTCTTTTTTTTTAAAGATTTATTTATTTATTTATACAAGCACCGGGTACAGTCAGAAGCACGGGAGGGTGAGAGAATTCACCAGAGCCAGAGCGGAGAACAGAACAGGCAGACCGACGAAGTACACTGCTGAGGGGAGCAGCGGGCAGCAGGAGAGGTCTGTGTGCCATGTGGGACCCTCGCCCGGCGGCCGGGGGATTGAACCAGCACTGCAGAGGCTACAGGCAGCTTCGCAACCCAGCGCTAAACTGCTGCGCCATCGGGGAGGCCCTCCTTTTTATTGTCATTTCCACCTGAACCTCTTACAAAGTAGCTTCATATTCAACTCTTCTTTTATAATGGTGATACATATTTTATTTATTAATTTTTCACTTTTGTTACCAAATTTTTAAAATGTATATGTTTGTTTAACTTTGGCATAATAATTTTACTCTTACCTATGGGCAGCTTCTTTCACTTTTAAAGTTTTATTTATTTATGCATACAAGAACTGGGGTACAGTCCGGTGGCCGGGGATTGAACTGGTACTGCAGAGGCTGCGGGCAGCTTCGCAGCCCAGCGCTCAACCGCTGCGCCACCAGGGGAGACCCTCATTGTTCATTTTTAAACAATGTTTTCCCCCTTGGGTGTAGTTCCCATAGAATTTCCTGCACTAATTCACCTGTGCACCATTACCTCAGTCCCCTGTGCTCCTCCCTCCCTCCCTGACAATTATAAACCAGAGACATCCTGCAAGAAAATTCTTTCTTTTTTAAAAAGATTTTAGTTATCTTTGCATGGAAACCCGAGGTGTGAGGGCATGAGAGGATTCACCAGAGACAGAGTGGGGAGCAGAACAGGCAGATCAACTGAAATACTCTGCTGAGGGGAGCAGTGGGCAAGACAGGCAAGGTCTGCTGTGCCATGTGGGTATATCCCTGGCTGGGGATTGAACTGGTGCTGCAGTGGCTTCCTAGCTTCATTGTGCTGAGACCCTACCCCTTGTGACACCAGGGAGGTCCAAGACTCTTGTTATTTCTAGTGTTGGTTGGTTACACTGGGTCCTTCCAGAGATAGATACTGACACATGAACTGGACTGTAAGAAGTTCATTTGGGTATGAGAATCAATAGTAGGAAAATAGGGAAGGGAGCCAATATCTCCCTGGCTGAGGACGGAACTCAGGCCCTAATGGTGATAGTGCTGAGACAACCCCAAGGCCAAAAGGGAGGCCTCCAAAAAGAAAATTCTTAATACAAGTAAATATGTAGTTATTTTTGAAAACCATTATTGTACCATTGGTAATAGACTGTACTGAACTTCAGGGCTTTTGATGACCAAATTAGATAATGCATGTGAAACTATACATATATAGGTCTTTGTTCAATACTTAAATACTGGGTCATTTGTGAATCACCAGAAACTGTACGAGGTATCTGAATTTATAATATTGAGAAAGATATCACATAATATATATTATCATTAAACTCACATATTGTATAATTTAAGGATATTAGAATATAAGCCTTTGAAACTTCATTGAAAATTGTGAATATACAATTTATTAAAACAAAGAATTTCCTGTTGCCATGCAGAAACCCTTTCGACATTAATAGTTTCAAAGAATGAACTTCATGGTGATTAATATTTTATCCATGTGTCTCAAAATTCTTGAAGTTACTTTATCAGTATACGAAGACTGAACTAAAATGTAAGTCAGAACTAAAATGTGTACTTCGTTTTAGAGAATTATACACTGATGTAAAGTCATAGACTGAAAATCTTTGTTTCATGTTTTCCTGAGAGCAACCCTTGGGAAGAATAGGCTTCTTAGCATCACCAGCTTTTGTCATAGAAAATACCAATGTGGGGCCTCCCAGGTGGCACAGTGGTTGAGCGCTGGGCTGCAAGCTGCCCGCAGCCTCTGCAGTGCCGGTTTTATCCCCGCCACTGGTGAGGGTCCCACATGGCTCGCAGACCTCTCCTGCCGCACCCTGCTGCTCCTCTCAGCAGTGTACTTTGTCAGTCTGCCTGTTCTGCTCTCTGCTCTGGCTCAGGTGAATTCTCTCACCCTCCCCCGCTTCTGCCTGTTCCCAGTGCTTGTATAAATAAATAAATAAATCTTAAAAAAAAGAAAAAATACCAATGTGTTCATTCAATGCCATTACTGAAAAGGGTACAAATGTGCAAATAGTTAATTTAACTCATGGTGAAGGGAAGCATAGGTTACTAACCACAGGGAGATAACAGAAGGAAGGAGAACTAGGCCTCCTAGTATGTGAGATAACCCTTACTTAATTCATTTATTCTGTATGATAATTTTGATGACATTGTAAATCTATATTTTAATATACAAAATGTGCTCTGGGAAATACGTTGCAATAAATGATTCTGCTTTTATAATATTGCCCTATTCTTTTTATGGAAAGTCATTCTCTTGTCTCTCTTTTTTTTTTTTAGAGGCATGTTTTATTTATTTATTTATTTGTTTGTTCATTTTTTTGTTTATACATGCACTGGGTACAGTCAGAAGCGCGGGAGGGTGAGAGAATTCACCAGAGCCAGGGCGAAAGCAGAACAGGCAGAGTGACAAAGTACACTGCTGAGGGGAGCAGCGGGCGGCAGGAGAGGTCTGCGAGCCATGTGGGACCCTCCTCTGGTGCCGGGGAGCAGCCGGGGGTCGAACCGGCGCCACAGAGGCCGCGGGCAGCTTCTCAACCCAGCGTTTAACTGCTGCGCCACCGGGGAGGCCCCATTCTCTTGTCTCTTAATTTACTATCAATTTAAAATACTTATTAATATGCTTAAAATTGCATGCTGACTGGAATGTTCTACATGTTTTATGCTATAATTTCCCTTTCCTCTGCATTTAGTTATTACTCAGAATGCTCGTTGCATTTATTTGTGTTTGTTTGTTTGTTTGTTTGTTTATTTTTTCCAGAATTCTATTATGATTTCTGGCAACTGTAAGGGCATAGATACGTCTCCTGTTGTATTGACATCAATATATTTTATTTTATTATTTTATACTTCTTTAGCAGTGGGTGTTTCTGCTCATTCTTAATTTGTTAATACAATATCTCTAATTTTTGGTGGGACAAACCCTTAGATACAATCATTATGTCACTTTTTTCTTCTGCTTTTCTCTGTTTTCTCTTCTATCCTAACCCCGCCTGGATGAGAGGTGTATTCGGGGGAACATATGATTTTAAGCAAAAAAGAATAAACTGGGTAACAAAATGAAATTAGAACAGATAAAGTAGATTATTTCCCATGTTTGAAGAGTTTGATTTATTGTTTATCTGTAGAATATGTCAAATATGCTATTTTTGTTTTCCATTGGGGGGAAAAAAAAAAAAAACATGAAAAAACTCTTCAACAATTTTGTGTGAGATTCACCATTCATCCTGTCTTTGAAAGAGAAATTTAATGTCCTTTTGACTCAACCTCAGGAACCTATACAGGTCAGAGCAGTGGGCTTCAAAGATTAAGTTAGAAAAACAACCACCTGAATTTCTTGTGAATGATGCAAATTCTTCAGAGATACCCTCAAACACACAGATTTAGTGAGTCTAGATGAACTGAGAAATCTTTCTTTTTAATACTAGTTCATGTGATTCTGGTTCAGATAATTAAAGGGCCATGACTTGAACCATTTTCTTTAAAGTTCCAAACTATTATTATTTCAAATAATAATTAAGATTGAAACCCTCAAGGTTATGAAGTTATAGAAGGAGACGATGAAAGCTTCCTCATCATGTCTTTTGTGAAGCTGACAGTTAAGTCAACACCCTAGTGATGCATATGGAGCTGAGTATATACTCCAGGGGCATCTGTCACTGTCTAACAATTCAGGAAAAGTGTAACATATACTAAAAACTGCTCAAGCCATATGGAGTTTAAGGGACACAGTGGGGGTGACATTTTCAGCACATTTCCCAGAGGAATTCTACTGGGCACTAAGAGACAATGTTTGATGAGTGTTTTAGGAACAAACTAAAGTCAGGCTGAAGGTATCTCTTGATTCTGTAAGCAACAGGATACTGCTGAAGGTCCAGTCACAAAAGTTCCCTGATTTCCCACAGGCTTCCAGAGATGTCTGTGATTATAGGAAATCCAAACTAATCTTCATAACTAGTTCAATAATCATATTTTTCTGAAATAATGTCTCAGTGTTAGACTAAGACACCTACGTAGATGACCTGTCTCAAGCATATGCATGCTATCATTATTGCTCTTTTATTATAAAATTGCTAAGAAAAAAGTACCAAATTTATTAGTGAGGGAAGGCCAAGGTCTACATTCCCTCTCTACGTCCACACACTTCTTCCCCTGAAGAGGCACCTAAAGATGACAAAGGAATAACAAGAACAAAGCAAATTAAAATTAATGGCTGAGGTTGGTGGAATATTATCTGGAATTCTAACACCCAGAGTGAGAAAGTTTTTAAAAAATATAAAATGTTTAAGGAAGGCATTTATAAAATTTACATGTGCCTTTCAATGGATGTTTAATCCTAGTGTTTGAGGCAGGTGATCAATAATCTCACTTGATAACAGGAAGAAAATACTGTTTTTATTTTGCTTAATAATTCAGTGTTTATATTCCACTAAAGTTACAGTGTAGAGCAGCAAAAACTTTTTACTGACCACTTTCTGCCTAGCACTTACTCTAGGGAGTAAGTGAGAATATAATGATAATTAAATATAATTCTTCATGTTGAGAAAATGCATGGAGAATCTAAACAAATTCTATTATTTTATTTAGTTCCTCTTTATGCTTTGTTTCTCTTTATGCTTGTTTCCTGATTCAATCCTTATCTATAAAGAAGGGTCTAACATAGTTGTGCTATTTTTGTAGGCCTGGCTTTCTTTTGGTACAGTTTCAATTGTATAATATAGGTGTTATTTTTCCCTATTTTATTTACTTTTAAATTTATTTTTATTGAGATAATATTGTATTGAATCATTATATGTAAGTTTCAGGTGTTCATCATTAAAACCCAACATATATATATGAGGCAACAAACTGGAGAATTGATTAAAGACTTCAAACTTCAAACCACAAGAGAAACACCAGTGTGCATGTCCCATGAACTTGATTTAACACCAAAATTAAAGATGATAAAGTAACAATATCAACAAATAGAAAGAAGTAAGATCTTAATGCATGAAAGGAAATTACAGGAGAATTTACAAATAGCCTAAATGAGTCCAATGCTACAAGTCCAAAAGAATGAAAACTCAAAGATTATCTTGGTGAATTAATGTTCCAAAATTATGAAATGTTAAGACAAACTAGAATTTGGAACTAAGAAGCTATTTTACAACACTTTAACACAGGGAAATAAGTTTGATCGTATATATTAGAAAATATAGACCTGAAAAATAGGTTTGTTGCCCTAAAAATCAGTGATCAGTAATACTTATCATAGGACATTTATGTATATTTACTGACTGATTCCTGTAGTCAGGAACTGGGAAATGTTGCTTAGGTACTGTAACTGGATTCGAGTGACGCATTAATCTCTGAAAATAATTGTCAGGGGAATTAATAATTGGTGAAAACTTTGTATTGAATAATGATAAGTGTTCCCTGGGAGGAAAAGTACTAGTAGTGAACTGTGCATATTTCATTCTGTGTCCTGTTAACATACCTAGACCAGGATTCAATAGGGGATAGCTCAGGAGGGATGTACACTGGCCAGAGAAATCACTTTTTAAGGCTAAAAGATAGTTGAAATTGAGAAAGCAAGACACACAGTTAAGGGCAGAGGTTCAAATAAACAGATTAGACTTTCACTGTGGAGAACTTAAATACAAACAGAAAAAAAATGTAAAGGTTTTCCTGCCATTGACACTGAAAGGAGAGAGGAAGCTGCATCTCCACACAGTAGCTTTGTGGGAAGGAATGAGGGAGGAGGGAAAGGAAAGAATATAGGAAGGAAAAGAATATTCCTCGGGCCTCCCTGGTGGCACAAGAGTTTAAGATGTAAACCTATGATGCTATCTGCAGTCACTGCAGCACAAGTTTGATCCCTGGCCAGGGAGCTACCCACATGGCATAGCAGATATCTCTTGACTCACCCATTGCTCTCCTCAGCAGTGTATTTCAGTGCATCTGCCTGTTCTGCTCCCCACTCTGTCTGTGGTGAATCCTCTCACCCCCCACACCTCTGGCCTGTACCTCAGTTCTTGTATGCATAAATAAATAAATCTTTAAAAAAAGAATATCCCTCAAGAGATGAAGATAATAGAATGAACACAGATGAAAATTAAATAAGGCAGTGGAGAATTGACCTAATCAATTATCTCAAATCAAAATGCAAAGTGACAAGGGTATAGAATATAAGGGAAAAGAGGATATGCAGATAATTGGTTCAGAGATTCCAGCAATGTCTAATGGGTATTCTGGAAAAAGGATGGCGATAGAACATCTGCAGTGTCCAAGAAAAGATCTTTCTGTGCTAAAGGCTGCCTTAAGCCTTCAGACTGAATATATCCACAAAATGGCAGACCTATTTTATCTTACAGGAAGCAAATAATAGGGGAATAAGAGAAACTAACCAGCTGCTGGACCTGAGATAAAGTTGATTTAGATTTTGGAAATTTGTTGCTCATCTTATGATCATATGAAAGAAACGTTATGCAAAGGGTGAGTGTTTATCAAAAGAGAACTATGAATTAAATGCAGAGAACAGCAGGAATGAGAAATCACCTGGCCTCTGAGTGATGAAAAGAGTGTACACATTCCTGAGGGGTTTACAGTTTGTATGGCATGTGTTCTGTTATTGGGTCCTAAGAGGTTTCTTTTTATCCTTTGTCTGTTTTGGGTTCTCTGTGCTACACAACAAAAGAGCAATGTGTAGAACAAGCATATACAACATTTCCGATTCAATCTTTATCTAACTCTTTACTATGGTATCCTATAACTTTCTTCAATACATTCATCTTTAGTTATTCTTAATATTTTGCCATTTTCCTATCTTATCATGTCCTTTTACACATAGCACTTGCTTTTATACATTTCATTTCTCTTCTCTGAAATATCTTTATGCGCCATGAATAAGATGCATCATATTTATTCTTTAGGAATCAGATAAAATAAATTTAACTTTTGTGAAACTTTCCCCAAGGCCTCAAAGCAGATTTAGTTGCTCTTACTCTGTGTTTCATGTGTTGTGTTGGCATGCCTGTAATGCATCATTGGGCAGCTATGCATCTGTCATGTTAGATCTGTCTTGCCTGGTAAACCTTCAGTTCCTGAGCACAGGGTCTATGTCTTTTTACTGGCACATCCTCAATACCTGCTACAGTGCTGTGCAGACAGTGCCTGCCCAATAAATAAGAAAAGCTATTGTTCTGATTATATTCACTAGTAAGGTAAATGACTTTTAGTTATTTGACTTTATAACATACCAATCACAAAACATCAAATCTGAGAATGGCTGTCATTTAATTCCAAGAGACTGCTGAAATCACAAAATGATTTTAATGTGATTTCATTTTTTATTCATTTAGCTTGATTATCTAAGTAAACTAAAGTATTTGGGGTCAGGAGAGCTGAGAGGACCATTAATTCAACAACCACCAAGGCATATGACAGCCCTCAAGGCAATTCAAGAGCTGCTAGTCTCACCAACTGCTTCTAGAAGAGTCTGCCAAGTAGTCAGCACTTGGAAAGAGTAATCAAACCCCATAAGATATCTGTGATTTCAGGTATGCTGCACTGTTCCCTTGCATCAGACTAGGGACAAAGAGAATCATTACTATTTTCTTCAGTGTTTGAACAGAAAGCCCATTATTTAAATCTTTTTTCTCACTTATAACAACAGATTGGGTTGCATTGACTACATGCAAATAATAATCAAGTGAAAATTATAGATGCTATATATATCTATTTCTGAGGAGTCCCAAGGCCATTCTGTTTTTGTATTTCATTGAAAATTTAATTTATACTAGAGATATTATCCCAGTTAGCAGCTTATGGAAATATAAGTTCATACACACACACCCCTTGTGGACCTAAATTTTATATTTTACTAGAATCATTTTTTGTTTTCAAATTATATGTCAGTAGTACTTATTCGAGGTATTTTGTCCTTGAAAAATCAGAATGATTACAAACTGGTTCAGAATATGTAGTATTCCATTCAAAGCATTCTGTAGAGTGTTCAGATATTTCTAGAGTATTGCCACAAGATTAAACATATAGGACTAAATTGCATCCCTAACCAATTCAGCCCACAGTTTTAAATTGAGCTTTTCAAATAATGTTTTCAGTTTACAGCTCAGTTTTCAAAAGAGAGCAGAATTATGATGAGAATGGTAACACTGATACTTGGTTGACCTCTAAAACTGAAATGGTTTTTCATGCTGCTCTTTTCACTCACTGGTAGAGACAACTACCCAGTGTGTAAGAAGGGAAATGTATTATACTACTCTACTTTTTGTTATTATAATTTACATGTAGTAAAATTTACCCTTTCCAGTGCACAATTGTATGATTTTGGTTAATGTATACATTCACATAACTACTCATGCAATAAAAATTCTGAATCGTTTGCTTCCATCAACTCAAAAAATTCATCCAAAACCTAACTTCACCTCAGCCTATGGAAAGCACATGTTTTCTCTCACTATATTTTCTCTTCATATTATAATATAAATTAATTATTTCAGACTATAGAGTTTCATTCTGCCTTCTTATAATTAGCACAATAATTTGAGATTCATTTATTTTATGTTGTTGAATGTGTTAGTGGCTCTGGGGTGCTGATAACATTCTTTTATGTGGCTATATCATAAATATTTTATCCATTCACTATTTGATGGGTATTTAGACTGTTTCCAGTTTGGGGTAGTGATAAATAAAACTACTATAAAGTTCATATGCAGGTTTTTGTGTGAATAAAAATGTTCATTTCTTTTGAGTAAAGCATGTATATGCAATCATTCAGTTTTTCTGTAATGTCCTGCCTTATAAGAAACTTCCAAGCTGCTTTCTAAGGCAGACATCACCAGGATCTCTTGCATAGCCTCATTCCTTTCTGGGGAGCTATTGGTGGAGATTTGCAAGGAAGAACATAGCAATGTAAAGGAAATACCTGCGTTGTATGACTTACAGAGCTTCTATTCTATTCCTTCATGTTCTTATGCTAGCCTGTGCTCAGCATTTAGGAATATGTTTAAAATGTAGCTGATTTCTTACTGCTTTTTATGGCATCTGGATTATCTTTCTCACATATTCTGCTATCAGATGCCCTGGGCTCATGTTCTATTTCTTCTGTGAAATTCCCATTTCTTTAGCGCTCAGTCTACTGGATTGCTTTTGTAACTGGGTCCCTACAGTACCCAGAGATAGAGCAATGATGTTACACCAATACACATTTATTAGGGTGGCTTAAATCCAAAACAATGCAACACCAAATGCTGACAAATATATAGAGCAAAGGGAATCTCATTGATTCTTAGAGGGAATGGTATAGTCATTTAGAAACCCAGTTTAGCAGTTTCTTACAAAGTGAAACATACTCTTACCATGCAATCTAGCTAAGGTGTCCCTTGGTAGTATAAGCTATGTCCACAAAAGGAAAAAAGGAAAAACAAACAAACAAAAAACAACCCTGCATATGAAAGTATATAGCAGCAGTTTTAATTTTTCCGGCTTGCCCCTGACTGGAAGCAACCAAGCAATCAATAGTTGAATGAGTCAATAAACTATGTTATATCCAAGCAAAGAATGTTATTCAGTGCTTAAAAATAAATGAGCTGGGCCTCCTTGGTGGCACAGTAGGTTGAGTGCAGTGCTGTGAAGTTGTTCTCAGCCTCTGCAGCATGGGTTTGATTCCTGGCTGGCTAGGGAGCTACCTACATGGTGCAGCAGACATCTCCTGTCCCTCCCCCACTCCCCTCAGCAGTGTTTTCCATCTGTCTGTCTGTTCTGCTCCCAGCTCTGTCACTGGTGAATCCTCTCACCCTCCTGTGTTTCTGGCCTGTACCCCAGCTCTTGTATGCATGAATAAATAA